ACCAAAATCTATACACAATGAGCCTGAACTTATAATAATATTCAGTTTTTTTTTTTAATACATCCTCACTAGGATATGCTGCATTAATTCTTGTATTGTTATTTTATTCGAATTATTCACAGCATTACAGTACGTGCAAGAGGAACATTTAGATAGAATTAAAATCACACCGAACGAAACAGCTCTTGCAATCTGAGCTCAACTGACTGAAAACATAATATGTATAGGTATAAAACAGTTTAATGCGTCTAATCTTCAAAATTAGCACGTTAATATATGGGTATTCAGTGAAAAGTCACACAAATGCCATTACACTAACCGTCTGTTGCGTTTGAATGATCATACACATATTTTAACCAGGCGCTTTTCCTCTGATAAGCGAGTCAATATTCGAGCTCATCCTATATTCAGAGCATTAGTTTATCAATACGTAAGCAGCGCAGGCCCGATTTAACAACATGACATGAACGAACGCCGATTTTAAATTGCGGCAAGGGCACGCATGCTTTGTGCTTGACGCAAAACAGCTTTGAACAGTGTACAGAAACCTCAGTACATACGCTAATAAATTGCATTTAAAGCTCACAAGTGGCAGCTTTGACAGGTTTTTCTTACCTGTGCGCGCGTCGCTGTTATTGTCTCTCCAGCTGCAGTCGCTCACTGAACGCTCGACGGGAGCAGCCGATCCTACAGCCGCCTGTTGCCGAGCGGGGGCGCTGGAGAGACAGATACTGCCAGAGAGAATAAACAGTTTTTCATCATAGCTAATTGTTTTGTTTATTTGTTTAGTTTTTATACTTAAGTAAGCAAGCTGGTTTGTCTATTTAAGGGGAAAACATGGGAATAAATTTCAATATAAATAGATTGTTATATTTATATACACTGTACAAATCATGGTTACCTTGATTTTATAAGTTACACAAAATGTTTTAAGTCAGTTTAGCAGAATATAAGTTCAATGAACCCATAAAGATAATTTGATTCAACTTGAAATTAAAAGATTTAGGTTAGAACATGATTAACTTACAATGCAATGAACTAACGCATTTGCTGTCATGACTAATCGGTCATGTAATTTTTTTTACAGTGTCTATACAGTTGAAGTCAGAATTATTAGCCCCCCCTGTTTATTTTTGTCCTCAATTTCTGTTTAACGGAGAGAAGATTTCTTCAACACATTTCGAAACATGATCGTTTTAATAACTCATTTCTAATAACTGATTTATGTTATCTTTGTCATGATGACAGTAAAAAATATTTAACTACAGATTTTTTAAGAGACTTCAATACAGCTTAAAGTGACATTTAAAGGTTTAACTGGGTTAACTAGGCAGTTTAGGGTAATTAGGCAAGTTATTGTATAATGATGCCAAAAAAAAAAAAAAAAAAAAATATATATATATATATATATATATATATATATATATAGCTTAAAGGGGCTAATAATATTGACCTTAAAATGGTGTTTAAAAAATTAAGAACTGCTTTTATTCTAGCCGAAATAAAACAATTAAGACTTTCTCTAGAAGAAGAAATATTATCAGACTGTGAAAATTTCCTTGCTTTGTTAAGCATAATTTGGGAAATATTTTAAAACTAATAATAATAAAAGGGGGCTAATAATTCTGACCTCAACTGTGTGTGCAAAATGTTTAATATTGCTGCTAAAAACAAACTAAAAATATATTCATTTTATTTTAATGTAAGTTATTTATACAGTGAAGAGCATAAATAAGCACACCTTAACTAATTTCTCTCACATTTAACTGATTAGCCTAGTTCCTCCACTGTAACAAATAATTATTGAATTGAATCAAATGAACTTTTCTAGTCAACTCAACTTGCATTAATCAAACCGAAAACTTTGCATAACTAATTAAAAGTATAAAAATCTGATTAGCTTATCAAAATTATTTTGTAAAATTAAAACATCAAAACTTGTTTAATGAGCATTTGTTGTCATGACTTCTTGTCATCTATTTTTCTACACTATATATGAGATAACTGTGCAAATCTGGTTTATTGGTTTTATTTTTGATTTGTCCCAAAGGCAAAACTGGAACTATTCTAACGTCATTAAGTTATACTTTTATAACTATTATAATAAATGAAGATTATGGTGCAAAATGAGTACAGCCCATTAATTATTCTGAATATTGTAAACCCTTTATTCAGGCACTTTAAAATGATAAACGAAAATAATTATAAAACAAGACATCAAACAAACCCACATTTATTTCCAAATAAATATACCAAAAGCCCACTTTGAATTAAATTGTTTAAAGTCGAGACAAAGAACATCCGTACAACCTGTCTTCATCCAATGAAAGGCTTTCAATGGGCTTTCTTTATTTTGGTTTGTTTTTGCAGTTATACATTTGAAGTTGTTTAGGTTTACTTTTTGAGGCCATTGTGTCATCATGCATATGGCCAGTCTTTCCTGCTTCCTTTCTCACAGCAGTGATCAGACTTAAACTGAGAAATCATCCAGTGCTACGGACTCTCATGAGATTATTGTACTCTCCAAAGAACTGTGAGAACGTCTAAGCAAGACACAGTCTCTCTTGCTCTCTCTATTTGGACATGAGCCCAGGGAAACATCTGTCAATATGTGCTCCTCCAGCCAGGGAGGGATTTGTCTTGAGCTGGACTTTCCTGTCCATCAGGCGTTTCTTTATATCCAGATAAGCTAAGAGTTGTAGGTCACCTCCTCAAGCACCTGCTCGTAACATGCCAAGTGGTTTGTAAGTTCTGCCTATTTTCCTGTTGTAATTACAACACATACAAATAAAGTTATAGCAGTGAGATGATCTTTATGCATGCTCAGTGATCATTTGAACAGCTTTATCACAGACAGTATGAACAGAGTGAACGTACATACGTTATTATGTAAATCTAATAAAGGTTTCAAATGCAGCAAATAACATGATCATCATATTCTGCGTTTTGTGCAACAGTACGCATGTACCATCGCTAACCAGTAGATGTCGTTATAATGCAGTGTAGGCTGTAATTCTAAGAGCTTTCTAGAATCGGATGACGCATAACCTAATGACATGCAAGTGGGTTCACACGGATGATTTCCAACAAGGCAAAAGAAATACATTTTAAAATCTTACGTAACATTTACCCGGTAAATTCTAGTATTTCCAATTTTTTTGGACATCGGCAGCTCCTGTTCTTTCTGCCAACAAGCAGAGGAGACATTAGTAGCTATGTTGTTTGATTGTTCAATATTGGTCACTCTTAAGTTCTCTTACATTTAATTCTGCCAATCCTGTGAATTGCTTTAGTCTAAAAAATATATTAATTTTTTTAATATAATAAACCAAAAGCTAAATCACTGAAACACATCAAAAAATTTTTATCTTATATGGCAAATTTTTCATTCACAAATAGAAATTCTCAAATAATTACCCATCCTTTGCTCATTTTAGAATAGAATTTAACTGCCTCCTAAAATCACTCCATCACTCCTCGATCTTATCAAGAATATAAAACCCTAAGACTACGAAATATTATGCAGATGTATTTGATGAAGATCCTTGATTTTAGTTGTTTCCCTTATGGTTCTTTAAGTGCAACTTCATTCTTTTGTTTAATTTAGTATTTTTAGTATTACTATTTGATTAATACTAAATCTATGATTCCATTATTTTATTTTCACTTTTCTGTCTAATGGTATTTTGTATTGGTATGTGATTTATATTATTTCTTATGACTGTGTAGTATTGACCTTTTTTAAGATCTGTATGTGATCTCTTGGACTGTTCTCATGTTCTTATATAGTCAAGCAATAAAAAGGGTACACAAGCATAAACAAGAAAAACTATTAGCATTATAATGGTATTTAGTAATGATAATGTTTTGAATCCAGTCAGTCAACTAAACTACATATTCAATCGTTGAATTAAAATGTGTAAATTGTATGACAATGCGACATGACAATAATGTGCATCATTAAAACAACACACACTATAGGAAACCTTATATAGATTAGGATCCTAGAGTTTGTTTAAATGTTGCATCGCAGTTAAAGCCTTATTTCCACTCCAAACTGCTTTAAATGTCATAAGACAGTTTTATTCAGTTTCTTCAGATTTGTTTGTTGCACATCTGTGATGCAAACCACCCATTTCTGCAAATCCTAAAGGTGGTGCTTAACAGGGAAGATGCTACTTTGATAAAGGCCACAAGAGAGTAGTGAACCTACTGTTTTGTTCAAAAAACCAGTTAACTCTTGACATGACCCAGCTGAAAATCGCAAAAATATTTCCCAACTTACAATTGCCAAAACTTAGTAGACCTGTGCAACCTGTATTCTTAGTTTGTTTTCTTATCTGAAAGGAGTGCCATCAATGTGATCTTCTTCTGCTGCAGTAGTTCATCTAATCTTTGATGTGTTATTCACTCATTTTTCTGTTACTTTTACCTATTCATCAACTTGTACCTGCTCATGCCCACAGAACAGCTACTTGATGAGTGAAGTTAGTATAAGTAGATTGATATGAGTTAAATTTTAATTGGAAATGAAAACACCATAAGCAGAGGTTTCCACTGTACAAGTATAGGGGGTTGGGACACACTTTTACATTTTAAATGGCTGAAGGATCAATTTAATGTCCTGTAAACATGCATGTTGAAAAAGAACCAAGTAACAGTAACTAATAAGGAGTAATTGTTCCTATTAAAAAGCTTTATTTTTGAATGCACTTTAAATACAACCACCCACAAGTCTGCTTGAATGGGTTGTAAAATTGAAGCAAAAAGAACCTTTCTGAATGGCTAAATTTTCCATTTACCCAAGATATTATTATTATTGTTGTTTAGACCACCTCTTATACACAATAATGTCTATTGCAAGGAAATACATGATTACACTACCAACACTGTAACTGCATCATCTTATAGCGCACAGTGTCTTCTGTTTTTAAATGTCAGGAAATTGATCTTTTAAAATTGTTCGAGAGAGCATGAAACATCAGTTCTTGTTTACCGAAGTGAAAATCTTTATTACATATAAAAATAAAACATTTACAAACATTTTAATTACAACACATAAAACATTAAGCTGACAAATTACATCATTAATTTCCCCCCTCACATACATTTTCTTTTATTTTCCAGTTTCAGTAACTACAGATACTAATATCAGTACTCCTGCTGCAGTAGCAGTCTTTGAGTTCAGGGCAAGGTCTTGTGGGTTTTCCTCAGTCCACCATCTAGCCGTTTTTCATATCCTTCTTTTTAGAAGCGTACGTGTACGTTCATTTGTCAGGGAGGGATATTGCTGGTTCCTTGATACAGCTGCAACAGATACAATATTTGTCTTAACACACAACATGAAATGAATGTAAACCATGAATTTGTTCTACCTGCCCAACTTCCCCTCATCTTATTCCTGTCAATCATGACAATTTTAATGAACAGCTCGTTGATTTGTCTTATTTTTGAGCAGTTTTCTAAATTGTTCTTTGTTAAATAAAGTGTTTAGATATGTGGGTGAAGCTACTGATTTAACATTTTATATTAAAGACATAAAAACATATACATCATAAAAAAGCTAGTATATAATCACATACATTTCCAGACCCAGTTATAACTATTATGTGAGCAATTCACATTTAATGATGCACCATTCTGTAAAATAAAAGAATGTCAATCATGTCAATCTTGGGCTAATCAGCATGGAAACAACATAATTCTTTGGAATGCAATACAGTATGGTACCAAGGCAATGACTGATATATTTGTAAGTGTAAAATAAACAGCGATATGGATGATAATCAGATATTTAGGTTTTTGGGATTTCATCCCTGATGTTTACTTTGATTTACTGACCAAATGAATGCACGAACATAAGTAATCAATAAATAGCATGCTTCTGACTAGCCATCTATGAAGAATCTGGCAGCAGCAATGTTCACCAGTTCTACACTGATGTAGAGCAGTGTGTCTAGAATTCCATGTCAAGAACAGATTATAATAAAACAACGTTCCAGGCTCATGTGAAAATAAATCAAACCATATCTGACTATTCTTAGAAAGATTCAGCATGATCATGGAAAAAATGGAGGATTTCTTCACCAAACTAACACCATACATCATTTACAATGGCTATTGCTGAAACTAAATGAAATCTTTATTGGTGCTATACTCATCAGCGTTGGGTAAGTTACTTCAATAAATTAAAGAAATGGTGCACCCCGAAAAGAAAAGTCATTTACTCTCCATTCACTTAAAATTTTTTAACACTTTTTGAAATTTTGAAGAAATCTGAAAATACATAGATATAATTTACATAAATACAACACACAATTTGTGAATTCACAAGTAAAAAAATCATTACAGTTTCACCATATGAATTTGATTTGGGCATTTATGAATCCTGTTTTGTAAGTTTAAAAAAAAAACACTAATAAATACACAAATGTAATTCTTAAATACAAAACACGATTCATAAATACAAAAATCCAATTTGCATTTAAGAACTGGATTTGTGTTTTTAGGAATCGTGTTTTGAATTTACAAACTGAATTTTTTTATGTGAGTTGTGTTGTGGATGTATGTATTATATTTTGTAAATGTATTATTTTTGAGACTGATCTGGTTTCCGATCTGTCAATAATTAAACATTCATTTTCCTTCAAAATATTTTGTGTGCGTGTCCAAGAAACTCAAAGGTTTATAACTACTTGAGAGTGGTGAGTAAATTCTCATAGTTGGATGAACTATAACTTCAAATCACATTACTAAATCATTTAAATCGTTTAATAATTGTAATCACTTTTACAATTATGCTGCCTGAAAAGTCTCTTAATTACTCAACAGATTGAATTACTTGACTCAAAACTATATAGAATTCACATAAACCTCAATGCATAGACGATACAAAATAAACAGTTTTAAATTAAATATGTACAATTATGTTGCTTCTCTGAGTTGATTAATACATAACTGTTGCATTTATTTACAGTTTTTAAGGCAAGTACATGATAAGTAACTTAAAGTGCTCATTATGTAACGTAAAATACGTATTTGTATTACTGTTTATATTTAGGTCATTTAATTACAGTAACTAGTTACTTGAGTAATTACAGTGAACACTGATAACTGATGACTTACTGGAAAATAATCATTCAGATCTTCCATTGCATGAGACATTTAAATCCACAAACTCCATAACGGCTGCAAGATGCACAACAGGAGAAAGAAAAAAAAAGGAACAAATTAGTTTAGATTAGATTCCTCTAAATAGTGGGGAAATTTCATGCCCCTGACCTTAAAACTTCAATGCAAACAGTACTTTAGTGGTTATAATCTTAATAGCAAAAGTTTGAGATTTTCCCAATGAGGTCATTTTGACGATTTTTATATTTTACAATGTAATAAACTGACTTTTCTGAAACAGGTGTTTTCTAAGAACTCTTATTTTTTCCAGTAATTTTAATAAAAGAACTATGTGAGTATGTATTACCTTGAATAGCTTACTATAGTTTTATCTATCCATTTTTTTCATACATGTCCAAAAATGTTTTACTGTCCATTGAAATTGATATTGGTGATGTTGTATTAGCCATTATGTTCTAAGATTAAGAAAGTAAAATTGAACTATTTAAAATTAGAATTAACCACAACTTTTGCAATTGTTTGACATTTTTATTTAACAAAACAGTTTCAAAATGGACACAGTAAGCTTTTTTTTATTTTTTTTTTTTTAGCCAAGACATTTATAAAAAATACTTAAATGTCCTAACTGAACCATGTTCCACGCCTGACCTCTAAAACCTGGTCTAGTGTTTTGGATATACAAAACAAATTCAGTCAAACCCATCAAAAAGTGGTTTCTGCAGCAGTATCAATTCCCCAAGTAACACAGTTTAAAAATGCACCCAGATAGAAAAGTAATTACATTGCAAACAAAAATTATACTTACAAAAGGGGTCATGGAGGCAAGTGTAGAGTCACAGTCGTGGCTTCATCAATTGCTGTTGATTGGCGTTGTGGAGAACACCATTTTCATGTAGGTGGCCTTTTTCACAGACCTGTTTCCTTGTAGCCCATGCAGTTACTAAAAAAAATATTAAAAATTCAGACAATTTTTGTTGATACTAGTCCTTTAGATGTTTTTAAGGAGATTGTTAGTGCTACTATTATTGCAGCTTTAAAAGCAAATTGTAAAATAGACAAAAGATAAAACAATTCTAAGCAACTATTTGCAGAAGTCATGCTCTGGGTTTTAGTTTCTACAGAAATGGCACACCAAATAGTAGATTTGCAGACATTATGCCTGGGGATGAGGTTTCCAGTAAACCTAGTCTATAGTCCATATAGTCCTAGTCCATAGTTGCAGTGGTTCAATAAAACATGTCAAGACATGCCACAGCTACAGCTGACTTCATTTTGGCAGATGTAGTTTCAACTGATATGTTGTAGAACTATCTATGTAGTTTAGGAAGGAGTTAAGTCTAGGGAAGCAGATTTTGTGATGCCAAGTTAACAACAACAAAAAAAAGGAAAAATTTCTGTAGAGGTAGTGGATTTTGACAAAGCGTTTCCAAAGGTAGTAGTAATGTCCAGGATCATCAATTCTGATGAAAGGCAAGTGGTGTATTGGGAAGTAGTTTCAGCAGAAGTGGTAGCTGTTCTAGTAGTTTCTATAGAAGTGGTGCCTAGGAAAGCAGTTTTTTTCAGCAGGGGTGGCGCCACGGGTAGTTGATTGTACAGATGTGATGACTGGAAAAGTAGTTTTTACAGAAGTGGTGTACGGGGCAGTTGTTGCAGCACAGGTAGTTCCCGACACACTAGATTCTGCAAAAGTAGTTCCAAATGAAGTTGGCAGAAATTGTATGTGATGAAGTTGACTCTACAAAAGTGGTGTCGGCTGTAGTAGTTTCTACTGAAGTAATATACATGTCAGTACTTTCAATAGAAGTGGTGCCTAGGGGGAAGCAGTTGTTTAGGCAGAGATGGTACCATGGGTAGTAGATTTTATAGACATGGTGACTGGGGGAAGAATTTTCAAATAAAGTGGTACCCAAGGCAGTAACATGTATAAAGGTGGATCCAAAGGAAGCTAATGTTTCAGCAGAGGTGGTGCCATAGGTAATAGATTGTGCAGAAGTGGTTATTGGGATAGTAGTTTCAACTGAAGAGGTGTACAGAGAAGTTGATGCAAGTGAGGTAGTGCCTGACGTACAAGTCTCTGTAGTAGTGGTTTCAAAAGTAGTTTAGGCAGAAATGGTGCCTGATAAAGTTGATCCTGTTAAAGTGCTGCCAACTGTAGTTTCAACTGAAGTGGTGTAGAGGGTAGTAGTTTCTTCAGAAGTAGTGCCAATGGAAGCCAGTTGTTTTAGCAGGGGTGGTGCCATCGCAGGTAGATTGTGCGGAAATAGTGACTGGAATAGTAGTTTCTACTGAAGTGATGTATGGGGCAGTTGTTGCAGCAAAGGTAGTCTCTGAAGTGCTAGATTCTGCAGAAGTTATTCCAAAGGTTGTTTTGGGTGAAATAGTGCCTAATGAAGTTGATTCTGCTAAAGTGCTGCCAACTGTAATAGTTTCTACAAAATTAGTGCCTGTTCTAGTAGTATCTATAAAACTGGTCTCTAGGGAAGCAGTCGTTTTGGCAGGGGTGGTGCCATCGGTGGTCGATTGTAGAGAAGTGGTGACAGGAAAAGAAGTTTCTACTAAAGTAGAGTACAGGGCAGTTGTTGCAGCAGAGAAACTGCCTTGCATACTAGACTTAGAGGTGGTTCCAAAGGTACTTTTGGCAGAGATAGTGCTCGTTTTAGCAGGGGTGGTGCCATTGGTGGCAGACTGTGCAGAAGTCGTGACTGGAAAAGTAGTTTCTACTGAAGTGGTGTACAGGGCAGTTGTTTCAGCAGAGAAACTGCTTAACGTACTAGAATCTGTAGGACTGGTTCCAAATGTAGTTTTGGCAGAAATAGTACCTAATGTAGTTGATTCTGCTAAAGTGCTGCCAACTGTAGTAGTTTCTACAGAAGTGGCGTATAGGGCAGTTGTTGTAGCAAAGGAAGTGCCTGACGTAATAGATTCTGCAGAAGTTGCTCCAAAGGATGTTAAGGAAGAAATAGGGCCTGATGAAGTAGATTCAGCTAAAGTGCTGCCAACTGTAGTAGTTTCTACTAAAGTGGTGTACAGGGCAGTTGTTCCAGCAGAGAAACTGCTTGACGTACTAGTATCTGCAGAAGTGGTTCCAAAAGTAGTTTTGGCAGAAACGGTGCCTGATGAAATCAATTTTGCTATAGAATTGGTGTACATGGCATTAGTTTCTACAGAAGTGGTGTATGGGGCAGTTGTTGCAGCAGTGGTAGTGCCTGACGTACTAGATTCTGCAGAAGCTGCTCCAAAGGTTGTTATGGGAGAAATAGGAATATATGAAGCCGATTCTGTTAAACTGCTGCCAACGGTAGTAGTTTCTACAGAAATGGTGTATGAGGCAGCTGTTGCAGCAGAGGAAGTACCTGATGTACTAGACTCAGAAGTGGTGCCCGCTGTAGTAGATTCTACTGAAGTAGAGTACACGGCAGAAGTTTCTACAGAAGAGGTGCTTAGGGAAGCAGTCGTTTCAGGAAGGGTAGTGCCATGGATAGTTAATTGTACAGAAGTGGTGACTGGAGAAGTAGTTTCTACAGATGTGGTGTATGGGGCAGTTGTGCCAGCAGAGAAACTGCCTGATGTACTAGATTCAGCAGAAGTGATTCCAAAGGTAGTTTTGGCAGAAATAGTGCCTGATGAAGTCGATTCTGTTAAAGTGCTGCCATCTCTAGTTGTTTCTACTGAAGAGGTGTACATGGCAGTAGTTTCTACAGAACTGGTGCCTGTTCTAGTAGTATCCATAGAACTGGTCCCTCGGGAAGCAGTCGTATCAGCAGGGGTGGTGCCATTGGTGGAAGACAGTTCAGTAGTGGTGACTGGAAAAGTAGTTTCTACCGAAGTGTTGTACAGGGCAGTAGTTCCAGCAGAGAAACTCCTTTTTGGTTCCAAAAGTAGTTTTGGCAGAAACTGTGCCTGATGAAGTCGATTCTGCTAAAGTGCTGCCAATGGTAGTAGTTTCTTCAGAAGTGGTGTGCATGGCATTAGTTTCTAAAGAAGTGGTGTATGGGGCAGTTGTTGCAGAAGAGGTAGTGCCTGATGTACTAGATTCTGCAGAAGTTGCTCCAAAGGTTGTTATGGGAGAAATAGTGCCTGATAAAGTTGATTCTGCTAAAGTGCTGCCAACTGTAGTAGCTTCTTTAGAAGAGGTGTATGGTGCAGTTGTTGCAGCAGAGGTAGTGACTGACGTACTAGATTCTGCAAAAGTGGTTTCAAAGGTAGTTTTGGCAGAAATAGTGCCTAATGAAGTCGATTCTGCTAGAGTGCTTCCAACTGTAGTAGCTTCTACTGAAGTGGTGTATGGTGCAGTTGTTGCAGCAGAGGCAGTGCCTGACGTACTAGACTCTGCAGAAGTTGCTCCAAAGGTTGTTATGGGAGAATCACTGCCAGCTAAAGTCAATTCTGCTAACGTGCTTCCTACTGTAGTAGTTTCTACTGAAGTGGAGTATGGGGCAGTTGTTGCAGCAGAGGTAGTGCCTGAGGTACTAGACTCTGCAGAAGTTGCTCCAAAGGTTGTTATGGGAGAACTAGTGAATGATAAAGTTGATTCTGCTAAAGTGCTGCCAACTGTAGTAGCTTCTTTAGAAGTGCTGTATGGTGCAGTTGTTGCAGCAGAGGTAGTGACTGCTGTACTGGATTCTGCAAAAGTGGTTTCAAAGGTAATTTTGGCAGAACTAGTGAATGATAAAGTTGATTCTGCTAAAGTCCTGCCCACTGTAGTAGTTTCTACTGAAGAGGAGTATGGAGCAGTTGTTGCAGCAGAGGTAGTGCCTGAGGTACTAAACTCTGCAGAAGTTGCTCCAAAGGTTGTTATGGGAGAAATAGTGCCTGATAAAGTTGATTCTGCTAAAGTGCTGCCAACTGTAGTAGCTTCTTTAGAAGTGCTGTATGGTGCAGTTGTTGCAGCAGAGGTAGTGACTGCTGTACTAGATTCTGCAAAAGTGGTTTCAAAGGTAATTTTGGCAGAAATAGTGCCTGATGAAGTCGATTCTGCTAGAGTGCTGCCTACTGTAGTAGTTTCTACTGAAGTAGAGTATAGGGCAGTTGTTGCAGCAGAGGCAGTGCCTGACGTACTAGACTCTGCAGAAGTTGCTCCAAAGGTTGCTATGGGAGAACTAGTGAATAATAAAGTTGATTCTGCTAAAGTGCTGCCAACTGTAGTAGCTTCTTTAGAAGTGGAGTATGGGGCAGTTGTTGCAGCAGAGGTAGTGCCTGAGGTACTATACTCTGCAGAAGTTGCTCCAAAGGTTGTTATGGGAGAAACAGTGCCTGATAAAGTCGATTCTGCGAGAGTGCTGCCTACTGTAGTAGTTTCTACTGAAGAGGAGTATGGAGCAGTTGTTGCAGGAGAGGTAGTGCCTGACGTACTAGACTCTGCAGAAGTTGCTCCAAAGGTTGTTATGGGAGAATCACTGCCAGCTAAAGTCAATTCTGCTAACGTGCTGCCAACTGTAGTAGCTTCTACAGAGGTGGAATATGGGGCAGTTGTTGCAGCAGAGGTAGTGCCTGACGTACTAGACTCTGCAGAAGTTGCTCCAAAGGTTGTTATGGGAGAACTAGTTCCTGATAAAGTTGATTCTGCTAAAGTGCTTCCAACTGTAGTAGCTTCTTTAGAAGTGGTGTATAGGGCAGTTGTTGCAGCAGAGGCAGTGCCTGACGTACTAGATTCTGCAGAAGTTGCTCCAAAGGTTGTTATGGGAGAATCACTGCCAGCTAAAGTCAATTCTGCTAACGTGCTGCCAACTGTAGTAGCTTCTACAGAGGTGAAATATGGGGCAGTTGTTGCAGCAGAGATAGTGCCTGACGTACTAGTCTCTGCAGAAGTTGTTCCAAAGGTAGTTTTGGCAGAAATAGTGCCTGATGAAGTTGATTCTGCTAAAGTCCTGCCCACTGTAGTAGTTTCTACTGAAGAGGAGTATGGAGCAGTTGTTGCAGCAGAGGTAGTGCCTGAGGTACTATACTCTGCAGAAGTTGCTCCAAAGGTTGTTATGGGAGAACTACTTCCTGATAAAGTTGATTCTGCTAAAGTGCTGCCAACTGTAGTAGCTTCTTTAGAAGTGCTGTATGGTGCAGTTGTTGCAGCAGAGGTAGTGACTGCTGTACTAGATTCTGCAAAAGTGGTTTCAAAGGTAATTTTGGCAGAAATAGTGCCTGATGAAGTCAATTCTGCTAACGTGCTGCCAACTGTAGTAGCTTCTACAGAGGTGGAGTATGGGGCAGTTGTTGCAGCAGAGGTAGTGCCTGAGGTAATATACTCTGCAGAAGTTGCTCCAAAGGTTGTTATGGGAGAAACAGTGCCTGATAAAGTTGATTCTGCGAGAGTGCTGCCTACTGTAGTAGTTTCTACTGAAGTAGAGTATAGGGCAGTTGTTGCAGCAGAGGCAGTGCCTGACGTACTAGACTCTGCAGAAGTTGCTCCAAAGGTTGTTATGGGAGAATCACTGCCAGCTAAAGTTGATTCTGCTAAAGTCCTGCCCACTGTAGTAGTTTCTACTGAAGTGGAGTATGTGGCAGTTGTTGCAGCAGAGGTAGTGCCTGAGGTACTAGACTCTGCAGAAGTTGCTCCAAAGGTTGTTATGGGAGAAACAGTGCCTGATAAAGTTGATTCTGCGAGAGTGCTGCCTACTGTAGTAGTTTCTACTGAAGTAGAGTATAGGGCAGTTGTTGCAGCAGAGGCAGTGCCTGACGTACTAG